TTTAATGCATCTTTTAGCCAAAGACTTAAGTACTTCTCCAGGAATAAAAGAAAATGTTGTTGAAGTCGCAAAATACTTCCATAACAACCATCTTGCTTCACTGAACAGAGCAGGAGGATCCAAACTAATTCTCCCTCAAGATGTTCGATGGAATTCTGTGATTGATTATTTTGAACCATTTATTAAGAACTGGCCTATTTTCATAAAAAATTGTGAAGAAAACCGTGATAGTATCACTTCTGTGATAGTGGAAGTATCTCATCCAAAGTATCTAATATTGGATTAAAGAGGAATGTAGAGGATATGCTCAGTATACTGAAGTCTTTATCCATAGCCTTAAACAAACATCAGAGAGATTGTTGCTGCATTGCTGACATCAAAATTCAGAAGGCACTTCAAGAGACAATGAAGAAAGAAATACCTAACCAGAAAGTTAAACTGCAGGCAATAAAGAAGCGAATGGATCAAGCACTAACTCCACCTCATTTTCTTGAGAGCATTCTCAACCCCAGGTAGATGTCTAACTTTTGAAGAAGATGATGCTGCCATAGCATGGGCATCTCAATATTACTCCTCAGTTATGCCAGTCATAACAAATTTTAGGGCTGGAGGGGAAGCATTTAAACAGTACATGTTTACTGATGATGTTTTGAACAAAGTCACTCCCATGAATTGGTGGAAATCATTAACTAGACACCCTGAAACAGAGTTCCTTGAGTTACTAAACCAACTTTTCATAGCAGTAGCTTCCTCTGCAGGCACAGAGAAAATATTTTCATTGTTTGGTATTATTAGTATGAGAATATTTTCATTATTTGGTATTATATTTCATTGTTTGGTATTATAAGGACAGATGTTGTAAAATGCTGTATTGAGTTGTAAATTAACATGTTTTAGTGATCAGATTTGTGCCATTGTTTAAGAAATATGTGAAGAAGTATCAGTAGGAAATAATTTAAATCAGTTATTTAAATCAGGGTTCTCATGGTGATTTAGAGCAGCAACTTAAAAAAAAAAAGTTTTTTAAACAATTTCATTGCACACCTCCTGGTGTGCTGAAGAAAATGTCTCTGCATGCCACTGACTGGCATGCATGCCTGGGGTTGCCTATCCCTGCTCTGGGCAAATTAAGGTCTAGAACCCAGGACCCTCCAGCTCTGTAGATGAGTGCCCCTATGGCTCAGCTGTGGGGGAAAACAGCACATGTAGCCCTTCTTTCCATTCCAGAGTCTGTCTGGTAGGCGTGGGTTTTGACTGATTCCTATTTTGGGGCGTCTAAGGCTGCAATGCATTCACAAGGGCTGCCTGTATGGGCCTTGGCTCTTACTGTGTATGCCAGCTGCATGACTTCTTTTAAGGAAAGAAGGTCAAAAACAAATCCTCCTGATTTCACGAATATCCTATAGTATTACAGTAAATTTAAAAATTCTCCTTTATTACTATATCCACTCACTACTTAACATGCTTGAGCTTAACTTTAAACTTGGAAATTTTCTTACCACTTAGATCATTCATAGGCATTAATTATTTTGTAACTGTAACCTGACACTGGAAGAGCCAAGGCCATGAGGATGCAAACTCCTCATGAAGTGAGATAACCACTTAAACAACAGCTACATTTCAGAGAAAAATGCCCAACTTTAATAATTAGGTACAAAACACTACCACATAACAGAAGACAGAACATAAGATAAAAGTTTAAAACATCCTAATTCCTAACACTTCCCCCTTACATTTGGCCAATGGTTACTTCTCAGGCCCTGGCTGGTTACAGTGGAAGGCAGGAATCATCATTGTCTCTGCAGCAAATTCCTCCTCATCCCTGGAGGTCTTGGCTTCTTTGCAGCCTTCAGCAGGTTGCCTCTGCCCCACTGCTCCAACTGCAGTACCCACATGGCAGATTCCCTCCATCTCCACTTTGGGGCTTCACACAAGCAGGCTTCAGTGGACTCTAGCAGGCTGCAGGTTGGCAGACACTCACAAGGGCACACACCCACTGCACTTTCATTTCCCCTTATCTCTCCCCCTCCCCAGCTTCTAGAAAGTGCTGGAATTCTGGGGAAAGGGACCCTTTCAGCACCATCCAAAGGAGGATGTCCCAGGCCACAACCAGCCCTTCTGCAATTCAGCCTTTAACCTTTTCCCCACCAGAACAAAACCTGTCCAAAACCCCCTCCTTTCAACATATAACATCAAAACAAACAATACAACCATATAATCGTCACAGATCTCCCCTTCGACATGAACACAAGAGGGGTTGTTTCTCAACAAAGCCACACCGGAGTGTTTGTCCCTCAAACATTCCTTACTGACAGAGCATCTGCAACCTGGTTGTTCTTTCCCTTTACACTGTTAATACACGTCATGTTTTTGCAACAACAGACTCCTTCTCATCAGTTTTGAATTCTATCTCTTAATACTCAGTAGAGAATAGTCCATATAAAATATAAAATGTTGGCCATACAGACATGGTTGCAGTTTCCTTAAAGCCCAAACATGGCAGCTGCAGTTTCCTTTGCTTAGGTAAATCACTGAAGGGAACACTCCCTTGTCATCCTTCTGTTTCAATTCAAAACAACCTCTAAGTCAGCTGTTGATGCATGCATAAACACAGTGAAGGGCTTAGAAGACTCAGGGCTCACCCAAATGTGTTCACCCACCAGAGGCTTTTTTAACTGATCAAATGCCTGTTGGCAAGTTCCAGTCCAATGTACTTTGTCTGGGTTACCCTTCCCATACAAATCTGCTAAGGGGGTGGAGTGCAATTAGTTAGGCCATACCCAGCCCTTCTGCAATCCAGCTGTTAATTCTCTCCCACCAAAGTAAGACCTATCCAAAAAACCCACTTTCAATGTATAACAGTCAAGCAAATAATACAACCTGATAATCATCACAGTAACAGGAAAGCCAAATAAATTCTTCTCTACCCTCTCTAAGCTACCTGTTCCTCTTTTCTTGATCTACAATAACTCCAACTAGAAAATGTTTTTCCCCAAGCTTTACTGTGGATTTTGTGTGGCTTCTGTTATCATATATTAAATATGACTGGGCCTTAAATTATTACTTTCTATTTATTATACTTTGGTTTACACCCTATTCAATTTACACAAAAGTAAATCGCTATTTATAAGTCGTATGTTCTACAATAATTATCTCCTCAACCAATCTCTAAATTAAGTCCATCTTCAATATTTTTATTTAATCTCTGATAAACAAATCGTTTACTTTTTAAAAAATGTTGTGCATACTACAGCAGAATTCATTGAACCTGCAGTGTGTGTGAGACAGTTTCTAACAAATACATCTATTTTTACTTCTCTATTCTATATTACTGTTGCTGCCTTAACTTTCTTAACTTGTTATATACAATGCAGCATTAAGATCTCCTGTATTTGCATCCTATAGGTTTCTTTTGATGTAATGTCTTATAACAGGGGTGGGCAAAATATGACCTGCAGGCCGACTCTGGCCCATCAACAGATTTGACTGTCTGCTGGTAGACAACTGCCAACTCGCTGGAGCTGGCCTGCAGGGAGCTGTTGGCTTCAGCCACCTCGTGGTATCAGGTGGGTGGGAGGGAAGGGGAATGGGACTGCTTCAGCCTAGCAGCATCAGGCATCAGCTGTGGACCCAGGTAGGTTTTCCCCCACAGCTGGCTGGCAGCGGCATGAGCTATGGATGCTGAGGGCAGGTTCAGAAGCCTATATGCAGAACCTGTCAGCAGCATCCACAGTTGACTCGCCCCCTTTCCAGTGTGGTGAAAGCTCCCACCCAGAACCCCAACCTGGAACCTGCCAGCAGCATCAGCTGTAGACCCAGGAAGGAGCTGCTGCTGTGCTGGGTGGGCAGCAGCTTCTCTCATTCTCGCCGTCTCTCTCCCCACTCCAGAACCCAGCTGAAGCTGATGCCATCGCCTGCCTGGCATGGCAGAAGCTCTTGCCTGGGTCCATAGCTCAGCATCAGGGCTCCTGTTGAACTACAGCTTTGGCTAGGTTCTGGAGAGAGGGAGGGAGAGGGAGGGGAAGAGGGGAGAAACAGGGAGAAACAGAAGAGGACATGTGGTGAGCATGTTTGTTATTACCCTGAAATAAAATAGTTTTCTGATAGTGTACTGTTAGGTTAACAATAATTTAGATTATTAAGAAGTATTAGCTTTGCAGCTGAATACAAGGCATGACCTGTGGCCTAGCAATGCCGGTGACCACAAGGCAGAATGATAGCTAAGCCTTTGCTTGTGTTAAGTAATCATTTTAACTGTGTTAACCATTTTCTGAGTAAAATGCAGCAAGTGAATCTGTGTCTATGTGCTGTAAACCAGATACAGCAAGGAACAAGATAGGGGGGCCATTTTGCCGGCTTAATGGTCATTGCTCGAGCAAATAAACTGCAGTCAATTCTTTACCCGCGTTGCCTGGTTTCTATGCAGCTAGACAACGAACTCCAGGGAGTTTTCTCCCACCACAGAGACAGACAGAGACAGATAGGGAGAAGAGACGAGACAGACAGACAAAGAGAAGAGGGAGAGAAAAGACAGAGACAGAGACAGAAGAGAGGTGGGGGGGAGACAGAAAGACAGAAATAGGAGAGAGAGGAGAAAAGAGAAGACAGTGAGAGACAGAGGGACAGAGATGGATGCGGCCCTCGACAGGTCCCCAGAACTCATTAACTGGACCTCTAGCTGAAATATTTGCCCATCCCTGTCTTATTAAGTTCAGTCTCCTTTACAACTATTTCCTTCTGATTCCTTTAATAAAACCTTTTTTTTCCTGGCTTGGCTGCTTTTTATTTTTTTTTCTCCTGTCGCACATGGTCAATCTAAATATAACTGTTTTCAAAACTTAATAAAAAATGAATATTTCTGCTTGTTTGCTTTAAGCTTATTGTAAGTTTAAAATACATTTCTTGGATAATATTTTCTAATAACAAAAATATCGGACACTGTATTTATTCAGCCAATATGTAATTATGCATTCTGGAGGACTGGAAGTGGGATTATAAACCTTTTCAGCAGCTCTTCTTTGAAGATCCTTCTGTTTGATGAAAAGTAGTTGAAATTTCAATAGTTTTCCAAGCAATGTTACAGGAAGCTGTTCTCCGCTATCCAGAATGGCTTTGGCTACTTCAATCACCTGCAGAGAGGTACAAAAACGATTATTATTAATATAATTCTCATATTACACTTGGCATATTTTCTGTATGCTGAAAAAATGGAACAGTATTTTGCATGTTCCAACTGTTGGAAATCATGACACACCACTAATATATAGTCTTTCCACCATCTCATGCCACCGGAGGTGGTTCAAGCGCCTACATTGAACACCTTCAAGAGCAAACTGGATGCTTATCTTGCTGGGATCCTATGACACCAGCTGACTTCCTGCCCTTTGGGCAGGGGGCTGGACTCAATGATCTTCCGAGGTCCCTTCCAGCCCTAATGTCTATGAAATCTATGAAATCATTCTTTGGCTCTCAGGTCCTTCTTGCTAATTGGTTGGAGTGGTACACATGATAACTATCTGAGACAGAAAAATCATTCTATATTTCATTTTAGTGTTAGACAGAGATCCAGTTCATACAGTAAAAAAGTGATTTTTTTAGGTTTTAAGTAGAGAAGGAACATTATACAGCAGTGTATTAGAAAGTAATAAATTAAACGACGTTAAACAGACTGATTTTTATTAGCAGATGTTTAGGATTGTGAATCCGAAAAAAAGATGACAAAGCCGGTAGGGAAATACATATCACCCGAGCGAGGGACTAACATTAGAGGGAGGGAAGGGGAGGGAGGGGGTTCGCCACACTGGGAGAGAAAGAAGACAGATACACACAAACCCGTTACAATGGTCCACAATGATGGAGGAAGTGGTTCAAAGGAAGTGTCTCAGTCCATATAGAGTCTCATCGCGGGGGTCCTCTTCGGGTGGAGCGGAGTCATCCGTTGCTGAAGTATCCTCTCAAAAGTGAAGGTCCATCTGGTGCGAAGGAGGGGTTCAGGCGGTCCCCTCCGGGTCCGGTCCTGCGGCGGGTCGTCTGGGGGGGTTGGGGTACTGGCGGGGGGC